ATATATATATATATATATATATATATATATATATATATCTACTCTCTCTCTCTCTCTCTCTCTCTCTCTCTCTCTATATATATATATATATATATATATATATATATATATATATATATATATATATATATATATATATCAACGGCTGAAAACTAAAGGACTAAAAGCGACACAGGTAGTCGCTCCTCACTAATGCTTAGATACTCTCCAAAGCGAAGTTGGAGCCGCAGTCGCCAAAGACAAAGGTGGCATTTTTTTGGGGGGTTGGCGATCGGTCCCCTCAGGCTTAGAGTTATGCCCATGACGACGGCGGCGCACCTAAACAGTATGGAAACGCTTGGCCTTTCCGTCCTCCATCAGCGGAGCGGTGAAACATGGATCGACCTTGACTGTCATCCACCCGCCACCTTGTTTCCGCCTTCTCCTGCGACTGTGTGCCCGGCGAAGGGAAACGCCTCATGTGATCCCCACCGGAGATCACGGACATCCACGGGCGCATGTTATCGTATTCTAATCTATCCTTTAGGTCACCCCATTCCCACGCCACCAGTCGGCAGAACAGTCCAGAAAACATGCTTTGATTGGGGATGTGTTCAGAGTTAAAGCGGTGCATCAATTAACTGCGAAAACCTGCCCACATCACCCAGCGAAGCTTCTGCCGAGATATCAAATCCTTGCCTTCAAATGGCTCGGACCCAGACACTCGTGGGGTGTCCCTCGCCAACGTGTTCTTAATAGACCGGTGTCTCTCTCTCTCCCTCTCTCTGATGGATAATATAGAGAGACCTGCATGTGATACGTTCTATGGGACTTCTATTTCAGACCACGATGGGTGGCAGCTGCACCGATTCACTCGTACGATGGTGTGTGCAAACATCAGTGGAATTTGACTGCTTGTCAAGTTATCTTTTGGCTTGGACGAACACTTCAGTTAAAAGCTGAAAGAGCAATGATCGGGTATACATATTCCACAAGGAGCTTCTTCACTAGTTTCTCTACAAGGATCAAGAATCTTCCGACCCTATCTCGATTGTTCTACAAGTACCATGCTGGCTAAAGTTGAAGATTATTCCCGGAGAATTGTAAAGAGATACGTGGAGGATCTAAGGAGATCTATTTGACTAGGATTCCTGAATCATTGTGCATTATCTTATGGAATGGAGCCAACTCAGTGGCCAAGAAAACCAAGTTGTGGGGTGTTGTATGCATGCCCATACTCCTCGGTCCGATAAGATGACGACCTTCTCTCGTGGAACGCACCGGCCGACTCGCTCCTGCAACCGTCCCCGAGGGTGCAATCGCGTCGATGCCTCTTTACGCACAGGGCAAAGCCAAGCCGGTCCAGCTCGATTAGGCCGGTCTAATCGAGGGAGCAATGGCAGATGGATGCGTGACTGCCGGAACTGCGCTTGTCCCTTTCCCCAGAGGCCTGGCGCGTGACCGCGACGGGGAGACTGACCACGTGACCGGGGGCCAGCGTGCGTCCGCCCGCAGCTGCGGTGGCGAACGCAGGAGGTCATGCGGCAGCGGCCCAGATGGCGGAGGGCGTCGTCTTCTCGGGGCCGCGCGCCAGAGAGCGGCATTCAAAACGGCGGGCCACTTACACGTGGCAAACGCCAGTTGATCGAGCGAAGAATGGTACGTGGGTGGCATTCTCGATATTGATTTAACATCAGAGGGCCTTTTGCTGCTCGCCCCACCTTAAAAAGGCCAAAACCCTCCCTCCCTCCCTCTACGGCGCATCCATTTCCTCCCCCTCCTCTCGTCTCCCCTTTCTCTCTCCCTCTCTCCGTGACGCGAAGAAGGAAATGATGCTGCATCGCGCTGCGCTGGCTCTGCTGCTGTGCTCCGCGGTTCACATTGCCTTTGCCATGACTGACGGTGAGTTTTCGTCGTCATCTCCTTCCTCTTGTTTCTACTCCTCGATACGATCCATGTCTCTCAGTATGTACCTAAAGCCGGTCCACATACACTCTGTTTCTGCTTTGATATCCGATTCTCATCTCTGATTCAGCTTCAAATTAGCTCTCCAGTCTCTCTCTCTCTCTCTCTCTCTCCCTCCCTGATTAGCCCTATGTACGCTACAATTAGGGGCTTCTTAGCTCGAACAGTTGTAGATCGTAGACGATAAGTCTGGAGCATTTGCTACATCGAGCCCTTAATTTACCGTGGGGGTTAATCGTTGGCGTGCGTTGAAGTTATTCCCGTCGTCCCGACACAGATGCGGAGCAGAGAACGACGGGTAAGTACGGTGCAGTCATGGCGTGGACAGAGGCGGGCTCCGTTGGCAGCTGGAGCAATGAATACATCTGACAACTTAGCTCAATATGTGTTTCATGCGAGCCACAATTGCGTTACGAGTCCGGCCGAGCGAGGGGCTGAGCCCTGTCACCACCTGTACTTTTGACAGATAGATCTACTGAAGGGTTCACATGGGTCGGCATCAAAATAATGGTGAATTCATCTTTCTGTAGCCACCACAGCTCTCGTGCCTGCTCATGTCAGGCCTGTTCAAGCTCTCAACTCCAGATCTAACCCCTGGCTAAACGAAGAAACAATGTAGACGCGTCGATCTGACCCAGCTTTTTCTCCCTGTAATCTAATCCGTATGTGTAATGATGAGCGCGGCATGCAATCGAACGTGCAGGTTTGTTGCCGAATGGGAACTTCGAGGCGACGCCAAAGGCGTCGGAGATGAACGGGACGCAGGTGTTGGGCCGCTACGCCATCCCGCAATGGGAGATCTCCGGCTTCGTGGAGTACATCGAGTCGGGGCACAAGCAGGGGGACATGCTTCTGGTGGTGCCGGAGGGGGCGTACGCCGTCCGGCTCGGCAACGAGGCCTCCATCAAGCAGAAGCTCACGGTGGTCAAGGGCATGTACTACTCCATCACCTTCAGCGCCGCCCGCACCTGCGCCCAGGACGAGCGCCTCAACGTGTCGGTCACCCCCGACTCCGGCATGCTCCCCATCCAGACCATGTACGGCAGCGTCGGCTGGGACTCCTACGCCTGGGCCTTCCGTGCCCTGTTCGAGGTGGTCCACCTCGTCATCCACAATCCCGGCGTCGAGGAGGACCCTGCCTGCGGCCCCCTCATCGACTCCGTCGCCATCAAAACTCTCTACCCGCCCAGGCTCACCAGAGGTAAGCCCATGATCCATATTACGCTTCATCTATGCATGCATGCAGTAATATGCTTTGCTTCCTCTCTCTCGACATGGGCGCAGACAATCTGCTGAAGAACCGTGACTTCGAGGAAGGGCCATACGTTTTCCCCAACACCACATGGGGCGTGCTGATTCCACCCAACATCGAGGATGACCACTCCCCCCTGCCCGGATGGATGGTGGAGTCCCTCAAGGCCGTCAAGTACATCGACTCGGACCACTTCTCGGTGCCCCACGGCAAGCGCGCCGTGGAGCTGGTGGCCGGGAAGGAGAGCGCCCTCGCCCAGGTGGCGCGCACCATCCCGGGGAAGGTCTACACGCTGACCTTCTCGGTCGGCGACGCGGGCAACGGCTGCGTGGGCTCCATGGTGGTGGAGGCATTCGCGTCCCGTGGCACCGTGAAGATCCCGTACGAGTCCAAGGGCACCGGCGGGTACAAGCGTGCGGTGCTTCGGTTCACGGCTGCGGTGGAGCGCACCCGCGTCGTGTTCCTCAGCACCTTCTACCACACCAAGACCGACGGCTCGCTCTGTGGTCCGGTGGTGGACGACGTCTCGCTGTTGAGCGTTCGGAGCCCCCGCGCGCTCCGCCGCTGAGGGGCAGTGGACCGCTATACATTAATGCGCGTCGATTGCTTCCTTCTCCAGCATAACGCAATAATCATTAACTAATACTGGGAACGTACGCGAGACGCCTACCGTGTCAGCAGGAGGTTGAAGAAGAAGAAGGTGTGGCGCCATGACCAAACCATCTCTCCTCCTATTACCAAGCCTATATGTGGGTACTGTGTCGGGTGATCCGGCGAGCAAGAATATATGTTCTGTATTGTACTCTTACCAATTTTAGTAAACGAGTACTTGCTTTTGTGCATGTAAGATGTAGCCTATGTCGGGTGTAATTTTATTGATGCGCGGACTTGTATTACCAAGTCTCCTACGAATGATGCTTGCATGCTCACAACGGTACCACCGAGTGTTCTACGAAGAGTTCCAATGCGTCGTGAGCCACCGACGAGGAGCACCCACCGTCGGCATCAGAGCCGGTAAGCTTCTTTCCGATGGTCTCCATCGTCTCATTCGATGGAGACGAGTCTGAAACCCATTACTGTATCGGCCTGTGGATGTACCGTAAGAACCCAAAGCCTCCATGAATCGAGCCCAACCCAACTCAAACTCTGACCGAACCCAATCCCGCTTCGTCCCATCATCGGAGCTTGATCACGTCGTTGTGGCCGTCGATCCCAATCCAACGGCCATAATGCCCGCGTCATTCTAAAGCTCTCTGACGCTTCGAGAAATATTCATTCCTAGGGTTTATGCTCGCCGAGTAAGGCCGGCCCTTTCGGCCCTTTTCCGCATTCTTGCTCTCTTCAACCCGATCGACTCTGTGGGAAGCGATCGGATGGTAGGTGTCCAAACCGCGTTTTTCGCTTTTTTTCGTGGGATTTGATGTTTTGCTCGCCGTTTTCGCTTGCAGGCGTTGCCGAATCAGCAGACCGTTGATTACCCTAACTTTAAGCTTGTTCTCGTCGGCGATGGCGGAACCGGTGACCGCTTCCATCTCTTGTTTTACCTTGTGAACGTATAATTCACGTAGCAAGCTTTGACCGGATCTTTTTCGTTGCTCTCATGCGATCTTGTGTATAACGGATATTACTCTTTCTTTCGCTTTTCTTGCTTCCATTGTTCTATTGTTGTTGACAGCGCCTGATCTGTTTGTTACTAGGTGAGCGGATCATGTTTGATCCTTCCCTTTCTGGGTTTCTCTTATCATGGATTTCATTCGTATCTCATTTTCTTTTTCGGAGTCGTTGTTTATGATTCCTGATTAAGAATTATAGTCTGACATGTGTTGCAAGCATGTCTGTAGCTATGCGTCCTGCGATCTTTTTGCGGTCATGAATTCTCTAATGTTGTACTTCAAAACTGGAATTTTTCTCATCTCCTATCTTTGCCCTATGATGTAGGCAAAACTACGTTTGTGAAGAGACACCTTACTGGTGAATTCGAGAAGAAGTATGAGCGTGAGTATTGTGGGAGTGACCGTGTATGCCTCTACTTTTTCTTTTGCCATTTATGGTTGCTGATGTATTTGATACTGTTTGTTGTAGCCACTATTGGTGTTGAGGTCCATCCATTGGATTTCTTTACCAACTGTGGGAAGATCCGCTTCTATTGCTGGGATACTGCTGGCCAGGAGAAGTTTGGTGGCCTCAGAGATGGTTACTAGTAAGTCTTTGTCTCTTTTTTTTTTTCTAATTCTATAATTGTGACTTTGTCTGTAGATTGAAAGAAGTTTTTAGCTTCATATTATTTCTTCTTCTCACTGCTTCTTTCTCATTAAATGGTAGAGTGCATTCTGTAGTCTTCTTCTAATCTATCTGTTGTCAACTTCATATTGTGGAAAACTACAGTTGTTAGGCAAAATGAGACATTTTCTTCCACCAGTGCCCATTTTCAGCAAGATATGCTATTTATTTAATTTTCTGGAGTGTGATTTGTCTTTTTGTTTGAGGAATGGATGGTTCTGTAAATTGCACTGGATGATCCAATTTTCCTACTCATTTGGCTTTCAAAGTTGTTTTTCGCTAGACAACTTTGTAAAAATAGAAATAATACATCAGAAGTAAATATAGTGGTTAGAGGAGGGACAATGTTAATTATTGGGGTGGAAGATACTGGGTTGAAGATGGAGAGTATATATAAAGAGTATATGTGTCTTTTCTAGCTAATTTATAATATACCAAAAGGAAACTTTTTCTAACTTGTAACTTTGGAAGGTTGTTGAAAACGGTAGCAAATAGCATTTTGGAAATAATTCTACGGAAAAGAGCAGCTCGGTGCATGGGCTTACGAAATGATTCTGTGGTCTGAGGTTTTGTTAAGATGATTATGTAATGCATTTTGAGGCACTGTTATCATATTGCCTGAAGCCTTTTTGCCCTTTAATTTTCTTCTATTAAAAGCCGTCAGGTTATTGTTTTCCTTTATTTTTATTTACATTAAAATTTGTGTTATATTTTGTTTCAAAAGAAGCAGCAGTATTATTGGTCTTTGGGAATATCCTTCATTTAATTTCAGCATATATGATTGAAGTTTTATTTAGTTTTGGTTTGGTCCTATGACTTGATTTCAAACAGTTTGTTATCGCGATTATTTTGGTGGAGGGTGAGCAGTGGTACTTAAAAAAGATTTATATGATTTTTAAAATGAAAAATGAGTAAGTTTTTGCATTTTGTCATAAAAATATTCAACATTTTTGTTTATATATTTGTATTTAATTATAAAAGCAAAGTAAAAGAAAAAAATTAAAAGATTGATCATCCAATAACAATGATTAATGAGTAAAAAATGCAAGAAAAATATTTGCAAATTTTGGAACTACTGCAGTTAAGGGTGTGCTTCAGTGCAAGAAAAATTATCTGCTGTCTTATTCCTAAATGCTTGTGTATGGATAAGAGTTGTCTTTCAACACATTCTGATAGTTTCTACTATTCTGTTGCTGCAGTATCCATGGCCAATGTGCTATTATCATGTTTGATGTCACTGCCCGGCTAACATACAAAAATGTCCCAACATGGCATCGTGATCTATGCAGGTTCTTTTCATGAGATTGAAAACAAACTATTTTATGTTATCTTGTTCCCTTTTACTTGAAAAATATCCTAATTTTCCATTTTGTTGGAAACCAGGGTTTGTGAAAATATTCCAATCGTGCTTTGTGGTAACAAGGTAGATGTGAAGAATAGGCAGGTTAAAGCGAAACAAGTTACATTTCACAGGAAGAAGAACCTTCAATACTATGAAATTTCAGCAAAGAGCAACTATAACTTTGAGAGGCCATTCCTTTATCTTGCTAGGAAACTTGCAGGGTAACTACTAACAAGAACAGTTTTCTTTGTCTAAATCTTCAAACGAGATGTTGATACAAGATTGATCAAGTGTAGAATTTTATTGGCAGGGATCCGAACCTCCATTTTGTTGAATCACCTGCCCTTGCTCCTCCGGAGGTGCAGATTGACCTGGCCGCACAACAACAGTAAGTTCTATCCATAAGCTTGTCATTATTCCTGGATAATGTTTTGTTATCAATAGTGACAGTAGAGAATATTAAACTTCGGAGCAATAAATACATACTGATGCATAATATGGATTACCCTTGTGTTCCAGACATGAAGCAGAGCTAGCTGCAGCTGCTGCTCAACCTCTCCCTGACGACGATGATGATATTTTTGACTAGATTTTTGCTGTAATTAATGTGTAGTAAAAAAAAAAAAGAGGTATTAGACATGTTTTGTGTTGAATTCGTCAAAGAAAACATTTCAATCTCTAAATGGCCACTGAGCGAAACTCCTGATTGTTGTCATACGTGGTAGTATTGTTGAGTGTGGTTGCTTCATGGACAAAATTACTTTTGATTGCTTTTATTAGCCGTAGTGCATTGTCTGCCTCGTTCGTTTAGTGTTACTTGTTGCTCGTCTCAAGCATTGATGTTGCAATTAGCTTGCTAACTTGGAATACACATTGGGACTGATCACTAAATCTGCTACTGTAGTACCATGTGTATTCTTATTGTAGCTAACTAGCAAATCTTCCCATCACCTTATACCATCCATCGTTTTAGTACCTAATATTATTATTTCTTTTTATAATCAGGTTTAACTATATATATATATATGTGTGTGTGTATAATATGTACATTACAAGAGTACGAGCCAATTAATCCAATGTTCCTTTCTTTAGCTTTTTGATGCTGGTTATATTTTGTACTTCAATAAACCCCTCACCAGAAAGCAACTTCATGAATCACTAATTAAAATTGGATTCAACTTATTTAATAATTTTGAAGAGATATTCGAAAGTTTGAATATATTTACCTTGTGTTTAAATTGATTATGTCTTTTGTAAACATCTTAAAACTAGTTAGAAGATTAAAAATCTCATTTATTGATATTATCAATTACAATTGATAAATAAATCGTCAGTGAAGTATCATTATTCTACATCTTCTCTTTTTACAATTTTAGGGACTTTTTCTTTTTTGTGTATCGTCATAACATTATCACCTTGTCTAATTACATATTTTTAATGATGAAATGTGAATAAATTAGCTACAAATACATGTCATCATTAAAAATAGTAATTCAGTGAAGATTTTGTTCATAAATAATAATCATTTTTTTCTTATGACTAATTAATGTATCAAGTCTTTAAGACTAATTAGAACTTTATTTCCCAATAAATAAGAGCATTATCTAATTAATCATCTAACTCTAATTTAGAAACTTAATATTCAGTCTCCTATTTACTATTCACAATCTTCTTATTATTGATAATTCTTTTAAAATAATAAAATATTATTTTTCTATTTATAATCGTAATATTATCAATTTTATCCTTTTTTTTTCTTTCTCTTTATATTATCTCTTTGTTCATCCTTTCCTTGTCAACAAGTCCGTGATTATCGTTGATGACACTTGTTATCGATATTATTATCACCGATGTCGCTTATCACCTTCCAACTTTAAAAATATATCAGTACAAGAAGAAGAAGAACGAAGAGGAAGAGAATATATCAGTTCATCATATGTGAGGGGATAGTTTAAAAATATTAATTTAAAAAAATAAGATTATAAATAGCAAAGAGGAGTCTACCAATTTATTATCCGATTCGAAAACCTCCCTAACACTTGACATCTTAATTACACAAATACCCTCAGTTAAATTTTAGTGAAACTCTACTCGTAACGATGCTAACAAACTTGTCGTCGTCTTATCTCTCTCTCTCTCTCTCTCTCGTTTAGAGGTACGCAGATTCCTCTTTCGTGAGATCGTTCGATCGACGGACTCTACCATTCACAAGAACTACTTCGTCATCTGTTTGCTCCTGAAGCGCTCTGCAAATCCAAATGGTAGCAGCCCTACAATGCCAACACAGATGAACTCGACAAGAAAGAGGCAAGTTCCGTCAAGCTTAATCTCTGGTTTTACTTCTATTTCTCGCTCCAATCCAATCATGGCATTCACGTGAGCAGGAAGAGGACACCCGACTGTAAATGTCAGAAGTCCGGTTGCTTGAGACAGTAAGTTTCCTCTGCTCCGTATCAAGTGTTGTTGGTAATTTTACGAATCGAACTTTCTTGTCTCACATACATTGTTTGTTACCCGATTCAAACTTCATTAGAATCAGCATCTTTTCTGATGTTATGGGATGATTCTCTACCCGTCTTGGTGTGAATCATCTTCGTTAAATCAAATTATAATTTGATCGATTCAATCCTTTTGTGTCAAGAATCTTGACGAGTATATGTAGTAGGATTCTTTTAATCTTTAATCATACTATTCTCTGCTCATCTCTTCCATGGCGCACACACAATATTTCTAACAAAAGTCTCTTTAATCTCCTTTAATCCAATGTTTTTTTTGGCTTCTACCTGTAGCTATTGTGAGTGCTTCAACTGGAAGATGTATTGTTCTGATGCTTGTGGGTGCCAACACTGCCTTAATCGACCTGAATACCAGGAAAGTATATCTGACTTAATAGAAGAGATCGAGACTCAGGACACACATGCCTTTGGTCCGAATGTTGTGCAGCCTGCAGATCAACCAAGTGTTCTTGGGGTAAGGATTGCAACCCTGCATTGTTACCTTTGGCCGATGAAACAAGACTCTCATGGGCAAACTCTGCAGGGGGAGAACAACAGGCAGTGTTTGATAGCTTCACCCAGGCACGGAGCGGGATGCAATTGCAGGAAGTCCAATTGCGTGAAAAATTACTGCGAATGTTTCAAGGTCTGTTGTTACTTTCAATGATAATTCTTTCTTTCTGCTATTAGTTCTTCTTCTTGATGTGGTCTGATGCATATGTTGCCCTCCTCTGCCCTTGTTGCTCTAAAGGCAAAAATGGGATGCTCCAGATTGTGCCACTGTGAAGGCTGCAACAATCCCTTTGACAAGAACAGAACTGGTAAGCATCCACCAACTATTCACTGATGTGTAATAAGTCATCAGTAATCGCATCCTGTCACAGGTAAGTCTGACATCATTGCCTTTGCACACACATGTTTTGCTGTACAGAAAGTTTTATGGAGTCTAAGAAGAGAGAAGAAGATTCATATGGTGGAAAGCCATGCTATGAAGATTCTTTGCAAGCTCTTACAGCAGACTCATATCAGTATCTTTTTCTTCCTTCTCACCGCAGTGGAATCAGTTTACCTTGTGCTTCAAGTGATCCAGCAGGAAGTAGGAGGGTTGCAGAAGCAGCAAATCCTTCCCCGGCCTTGGGTTCCTTCGGCCAGCTTGCAAGTGCTGATGCACTGCCTGCTGGTTCTTTCCCACACAGTCTGTTCGTGTTTCCTCACCAAAATATAGTTCCTCCTTGGGATCAATCTCCAATCGACTACACCTCATCAGATTTCACAGACCATTCTGCTCGATAGCCACATCTAACATCAGATGTTACATTTCCTCTCCTCGATTGGACCAGTGCGGTGGAAGCAATGAATGATCTGCAAACTCGATCCCTTGTTCTGGAATCTTGAATCACAGTTAAAAAGAGTGTCAGGCCATGGTAGATGAAGATTACAACTTGGAGGATATCCATTCAAGATCATTGTTTTCTGGGTGCTGCTTTACTACCTGCTCAGCAGATGCATGGTGATGTCCACTATATATTACCTTTTACTCCATAGTATACCGATAAAAAACTACATATAATCAATATAAGAGTGGTGTCAATCATTCATGTTAATACTGATAAGTCTTACTCAATTCAATCATATAGATTTATAGACTGTATGATTCTATGTGTTTGGAGAGTGTTGCATCGTTTTCAGTCTTCGTCCATTGAAATAACACAAACATATCCACAAAGGAGGCATCATGTGGTGAGAATGGGGGGAAGGTACTCGGACCTTCTCCCAAGAACTCGGGCCTTGGTGTCCGGGAAGACCTCCGACCCCGGCAACGCCGTGATATTTCCATCGTCGGCGATGTCGATGGGGTAATTAAGAAGATGGCCCGGCAGGTCATCGAACAGCGCCTCGCTCGCGTACAGATCCCAATTCCTTTTGGCCACCATGTTCACCATGCGAACGCACTCAGCGCTCTGGGGACGGAGGAAGACGTCGTCCACCGTCCCCATGTGCTCGAACCACAGCGCCAACCGAAAGCCGTGGACTTGCCCCCGCGCAGCCTGCCATTCCGATGCCAAATGGCTGGGCTGGTACGCACCCATCGCGATCTCCGAGTCCCTTCCTCCGTCCATGGATCTCTGGTTGATGTTCGCTGAGCCAACGATGATGTACTCGTCGTCCACTGAAACCACGAGTGAGAAATCAATCGTTACGAGAATCACAAGCTGCAGAAGCAAGTTCATGGTTACCTATCATCATCTTGGCGTGCACGTAGATCATGAATCGCCTCGCCTGCTGAGCTCTGCTGTAATCCGTGTCCGGTTCCGGTCGCTCCTCCGGCTGGTACTCGCCCGGCCACTTCCTTCCTTCTCGATTGCCTAAGCAAAAGAAGGAGAGATAGTCCTTGGGGTCCGCTCGAATCCCCTTGGCTCGGAGTGCCTGCGTGATGTCTGTGTACATCATCTCCATCGTCCTCCGCTGCCAGTCCAAGATGGCTTGAACCGACTCGCTCTCGGGGATGCCCTCTGGCCACATCGGGATCACCACGTACGCGGTGAACCGTTCTCCGGCCTCGATCTTGCTCACCACCTTCAGAGAGATCTCCTTGGGGATGAGATGCAGCGCCCCGATGTCCTCGACTTTGATGCCGTCTGCTGCACTCCATCCGTACGAGCTCCCGAGGAAGTACTGGTTCTCGATGTAGATGAACTCCTTGGCTCGGCGGATGGCGTGAATGTAAGCATCCTGGATGCTGCGTTCTATGACATGGTCCTTTCCGGTGACGAGCCCCGCGGAAGCCGCCGCCTCTGGTGTGTCGGGAAATCCAGAGACCGCGCCACCGTCGATCGACCGGAACAACTGGACGCTCCATGCGTCTTCGTCCGCCACAGCGCGAGAGTCGTACTGGTCCGTACGGATGGATGGAATGCGTTCGGGCTGCAGTAGCAGCTCCTCCCCTCCACCCTGCTTTCTCCACCTCTGCTCGAAGTTGCACAGCACGTCCCAAGCGACGGGGCCTTCGAGCCGGCAGTGGATGTCGTGCCAAGGCTCCCTCGGCCCGCCTTTGCGGATCGACGCGCGCTCGAAGTTTGGCTGGTGGAAGTCCGTGCGATGGGTCGTGGCCAGAGTTCGGAAGAGAGAGTGGTACTGCGTGTCGTACCTCCCATCGCACAGATCGATGCCGCCGACGAAGCTCAGGATCGTCCTCTTCCCTCCTCCTGCGGCCTCACCGTCGACGAGCACCGTCTTCTGATGGTGCGTGAACATGGTGGAGATCTGAATGTCCTGCACGTAGCTACTCGCGGCGTCAGGATTACGAGGGCAGAGGACGCAGTGCACGCCCGTGTTCCTGAAGTAGCTCAAGGTGTCCTGGTCGTGCGTGGCCATCAAGCCGTCCTTCTTCAGCGGGCCGAGTCCCAGCGAGGTTCTGTCGTTCCACACCAGCATCAGCACTCGAACACCTTCTCCGGCCTTCCTCACGAGCAGCTCCCCCAGCGTGGCGTCTCCTCCGGCCCTTGGCCTCCGGGGATCCCTCACCAGGCGGATCCCCGTGAAAACCGACCACCCAGTGAGGTAAATGAGATGCCGCGCGCCGGTGATCGCGTCGAAGATGTCCTCCCAGCATCTCTGGGGCTGGTAATCGTGGTGGTACCCATCGCCCAACGGGATCCACGGGATGAAGTGGTCTGGTACGTGGGCGTCCTGGTAAAGCCTCACCCTGCAGCCATACCTCTGTGGGAAGAAAGCTCGAGGCACCGCTGTGTGCCTCGGATCAGCGATCCCTCTACCCCAGTTCTGCTCCGGGTCGGCGTCGACGGCCACGTACTGCACCCTCACATGCAGCTTAGCCCCTCGCTCCAGCGGTTTGCGGTCCTCGCCGCAGATCGCCAGCCACCGATCCACCGCCGCGCCATCCACGACGTCCTTCACCGGCAGGTATGCTCTGCCGATGACCGCCGCCCCGACGGCTCTCTCCGCCTTGACGGTGAAGATGATGTACGCCGCGTGGTGCGCGCAGTAGATGTGGAACGACTCGTTCCACCTGAAGGAGTCGACGAGCTCATCCTTGCTCATCACTCTGGTGCGACCGACCCTGGCCTTCTCCAGGTCGATGGTAGCGTAGACGTTCGCAGAGCCCTCGTTGCCGAATCCCTCCATCTGTTCGACGAGCTGCGTATGCATGATCGACATCAACTCCGACTGATCCAAGCATAATTCAGGGACAAAACGAGGCAATTAATCCACCTTGGGACGGCAGAATGAGACTCTCCTGATCCATGAGAAGCCTTTCAACAGCCTGCTCCTCGAGAAAGTGGAGCTCTCCCATTTGACAGCGGCAATAACACCATGCATAACACATCAGTTGATACGATCTCGACAGCATCAAATAAATGAAAAGCCATGGTTTGAATTGGCATAAATGGAATTGTAGATAGAAAATTATACCTTTTGAATAGAGTTTTGAGTAGTACGATCTCCGCGAGCTTTCAGTAAGGAGTCTGCCTCCAAGATCGATGCTTGCAGGGTTCCATGGAGCAAAATATACGCCATGGCTTCTCGTCTGTCTGCTGCTCTCTAATACCAAGAAAGGGAAAGATCACATATAAGTATAGTTCTTTCGAGTTATTATTGGTTTAAGATTAAACCAAAAGAAATTATATTGAACATCTCAAAAAGAAAAACACTTATAATATATTGAACTATTCTTTGACTCAGTATCATAGATCTGAACACCGAAGACTTAATGAATCTACTCACCCGTCCCAAGAAAAGGATAACCTGCTCCATGCTTAACCACAACACAAGAAAGAAATCTTATTCCAAAGTCATGGACATTCATACTTTAGGAATCTTGTGAAGTGTCATATTCACAAGGTTAGGATCCTTTTTGTTTAGAATGTCAGATTTTGTTAGGATTATAATGGATTTTGGGAGAGCTTCTCCTTAAACCCTTGTTTGGTCTTCTTCTACCACTTGGAGATCAATCTCAATTGCTTCACATCTTTTAGCTTCATTAGTCGAGTGTCACTTTGGCACTAGTTGTACTTGTAGGGTTTTGGAAAGCTACAAAGTTTGAAGGTTGGATTCTGTTGTCTGTATGTCCTAACTTGTTTTAAATCTATGTACAGTCCGATTCAATTATATGATCTCCTACTACAAACCGAAGGGTCATAGAAATCACTCAGAGATATCGTACTGTACTGTTGAGATCCAACACCATTGGGGGCTAAAAATCCTGGAAGATAAGATTGTGGTTGTTTGACAAGAAAATTTGTTTGGAATCAATTCAACTTCAGTCATCGTTGACAAGAAAATAAGATGAACTGAGACCATAGTCTTACATGACTAGATCAAAGTTTGGGTTACATATATTAGGTTTAGTTCGTAACCTAAGAACTTAAGTTTTTTGAGTTGAATCAATACCTAATCTCCATATATGTTAATTTGACTCTCATCATCACCCGACATGACGTGATAGGAAAACTCTTTTATTATGTATATTAGAAAATACTTATGATACTTATAGGAATTGTTAGTGTAAACAATTTTAAGCCGCGGCCAATGGGCCGATGCGGCTTGGTTCGGGTCCGAATAGTGGGGGATCTTCTTGGGACGACCTTTGAGACTGCAGAAGACCGACTGCGGTGGTCCGATCGCGAAGGGGTCACCGTTTCCTTCGGGAGAGGGCTTCTCGCTTGGGCGTCTAGTGGGAGGCCTCCGTCTTCGCACCTGTACCCAGGTCGGGTCGGGAGAGCTCGGCTCGACCTCTCCGACGATCAAGTTAGCGAATAGTCGCAGGGGTTTTTTTTGTTGTCCTCCATCTTCCTCGGAGCGCGAGGGTTTTTATAGTGAATGTTACCGTTGCCTGATGTGCCCACTCGCAAGGAGTAGGATCGTACTCCTGGTAACGTCTAACATCGACGTTGGCGAGGCGTGAAGGATCGAGCTTGAGCAGGATGTTAATGTGCCTCGGTTGGTATTCCGGTCCGTGTTGACCAGGTGCTGTCAGGTTAACAGAGGCACGAGGTGTCATCTGGGGCAGCTGACGTCAACCTGAGTCTTATCGCCATTATTACCCTCATCAGGAATCAACCTAAAACACACTTAATTTTTTACTAAATTATAATATTTTTTAATGTATCAACTAATTAATCGGTAAAGACTTAGTAGAATAATATTATGACTTAAAAATCTATCTAATTTGATGGATCCTATGAACCGAAAAGAATTATACTTTGAGAAAAGCTATGATTTTTTTATAAAATCAACTGATTATATATATATATATATATATATATATATATATATATATATATATATATATATATATATATTGCGTACGATTTTGCGGTTCAAACCGCTAAATTGGATCGAACCAAACTGCAATTAGGGTTTGGTCCTGTCTGCGTGATACGCGTTGCTTCGACGTATCGAAACAAGAATTCTCGATCTCCACGGTCGGCGTCGCCTTCACTGGTTTCCCACCGGCTGCCCCATCCATCCTCAGCGTTCCATCCCCCGCCGGCCGCCGGGGTTCGTCAAATCTCATCGGCACCGGCCACCAGCGGTGGCAAGCGATCTAAGGTATGTAGAAGTCTCCTGTTCCTCCTTCCTCCTCGTCTTGGCGGATTATTTGCGCTGGTTCTCTTTTCGCACCCTATGACACATTCGATGACATAGATGAAATCAGAGATCGAAGATGCTTGCTTAGAGTAAGGTTATTCTAGATATGCCTAACATGCCCCTGCCTCTCTTTCTTATTTCTTCCCACGATGGCGTTGAGATGCCGACTGGCTATGGAGGTTTTTATTATATATGGTTGAATTTGCACAACGCAAGGGTGAAATATGTTGGTGATGATCTTGGAATTGATGGTCTAAGGTCTGGTGAAACGGAAGTGGAATTGTTCCTGAAATGTGAATCACAATATTCCAAAAGATGCAAATAGGTCACTGTTTTCTAGAAACCAAATGTACCCTAAGCAGTTTTGGTCAAGCATGGAATTACTTGAAACCAAAAGAGTTATGGCTTTCTTTTATCGTTGATATTATTTATTTTACTATACTCACCTATTTACAGGGCGAACACCTGTTGAAGATTTGTACAATCAAAATCATGATTCTAGGGACGGAGAAATTTACACTTTGGCTAGTGAAAACAAACTGTATTTTGGTACCTGTATTAAATTAATAAATCAATTGAGTCAAGAAATTGCGTATTTAGAAGTTGGGTCTGTTTTGTGTTCTGAGATTATGATCTGATTGGATGTATGGTATATGGTCGTTTTATAAATTCAATAATTGCATTGTCATTTTAGTGAAAGCATGTCTGATTTCTTTAGTAGACTCTCTTCAGGCTTTTGCGTTGTTGTATGCTTTTATTTTCTCCTTCATTTTTTAGCAGTTGGCCAACTGTTTGCTGCAAAGACAAGGCAGGACTAATGAAAGTGATATTCTTCTTGAGATAATTCTATCAAGTGTCTTTAAGGCATTTTTGAGAAGTTCTTGATTTGTCATTTTGTTCTATAGATGGTAAGTACATTAGGTAGTTTTGTGTTCTTTAATGTTCAGAAACACGAGCCCATTATTTTATTGGGAATGAATATGGGTGAAGGAGGGGTGAAGTTGATTCATTTTACTCATCTTTGACGCGTTTGAAAATCATAGAAACACACTCATGTTTGAGGGTAAAGTTGCATGCATTAACTCTCAGAATCTCACAAAATGACAATAACCTTGTGCCTTGAGATGTTATTTTTTCTATTTCAGTCCCAATGTCTAATAGCACTCTTGTTCTTTTTCTTGCTATGAAATCTAATTGTTTCAGAAGTTAAATTCAATAAAATAAAATGTAGTGACCTTTGAATCTTGAACCAGCCAATCATGTCATATTGCTGAAATCCTTTTATCCTGATCAAAATTGTCTTCTATGTCATTGAATGGGCAATGTGGACGCATCCAAATTTCTTAGCTTATTACAAATTGGGGACCGACCATCCGTTGTATTATGCCTTCTCCCAGAAAATGTGTGTTTTCTATCCCATACATCCATTTTCATCATATATGCTTTAATAACTAAACTCAACAACTTCATGTCTTCACTTGTACTTTTATATCCTGCAGAGGACTATGGTCATAATCCATGGAATCATACATACCTCGATGCATATATCCATGGTCAGGGTGTGATAGATAAGCTTCTTTGTGAAATTGAGGATCAACAGGTACAGGACTTTAAAACAAGGCAAGGAAAAGAATAATCAAGGATCGGTCTTTCCTAGTGTTGATAAATTTGTACTGATAAACAAATTGTGAAACCGCAACAAATATACTGGGAAAACAATAAAACCAACAGTAGTTAAAGTGAAGATCAGAAAAATTCTCCTTCGTAATCCTTTTTTAAAAAAAATTCAAATGTTTATACTTAGTATCCACAGTGTCAATTTGATCAATTTGTTTAGAATGTTTTGTTGGGTTCATGGGTAAAAAGTATTGACTGCATGGCTACTCAATTTGGGCTGTGGTGAAGCATATGTTCTTCTAAAAATTGACCACTAGCTATATGGCTCAGTTTGGATCAACTTTCTAAAGACTATTTTTTGGATCGGAATCAGCCTTGTATGTTTGTAATATCCCATCTCAACTTACCATTACTAGCTTTCTGGGTGAGAAATATGATAACATAAGATGTGACAAATAAAGAAAAATAAATGCATACTAAATTGCAAGACAATTTTTGTCTTCTATGCTAGGAATGTGAATGTATTTTTCAAATTAATTTTGTGTTATAAGAAATAACAATGACATAAGATGTGACAAAGAAAGAAAAATAAATGAATACTAAATTGCAAGACAATTTTAGTCTTCTATGCCAGGAATGTGAATGCATTTTCAAATTAATTTTGAGCTATATTTCTCTCTCTTCTCCATTTTAGTAGCACACTCTCTGCTTCATCTTGATCAAAGTATCAAGGTGGTAAATTTCTTCAGTTTGACTGTCATTTATTTTATTTTTCTTGTTTCTTCTTGGTACAGCTATTCCTCTGTGTATTTTCATTTGGTTTTTACTTATAAAAATTGCCCTTTTATGCTACTGGTATATTTTCTTTTTTATCAGTTCGCTAAGTTTATTTACTCTTCAGCAGGTCTTTTCCCTTGACATAAGTATCAAAGCACTAAATTTCTTTGGTTTGTTGAGTTTATTGCTTTATTTCTATGCTTTTCTTGACTCAGCAGCCCCAAATTGGAATCTCTCTAGGTTTCTATCTAGAATTTATTCTACAGATTGTATTATTTGACTTTGGAAGGATTTTTGACCGAGAAAGAATTATTGGCAAAACTTTTCTGTTCAGAGCTTTGTGCATCAAACAGAAATTTCTTCTTTCAGTTCTTACAGAATTTTCTCTGTATATCGTATATACCCAGACAGCAAGGTTGTGATTGTTGTTTATGAATACACATCGAATCAGGATAGTGATGAACATTGCATGTTAGATAGAGCATTTATGGATTTTGTTCTTTCTTGAAAGCATTCCCACATTCTTCGTATATATACTT